AGTGGGAGAACTTGCACAATTGGTGGCTGACTAAATACTTTTTTGCCCCACTGTAGCTATTTACATTTTGACTCTTGAAAGTTACAAAAAGCAACTTACAGTGTTGAAAAGCTTTGAGGAGGTTTTTGAGGATGTTAGGTTGGACTTCTTGTTTCAGCTAATTTGGGAGGAGCAAATAAGTGCTTATATATACATTTTTTTCAGTGTTTAATAAAGATCGTATTCTATGAAATAAGGAATTAGGCAATTAGCTGGTTAGGTTTGTAATGCACCTTTTTCTGAATAATGGCAGGTACAAGGCTAAGCAGAATGCAACAAAAATAATTTCTGAACCATGTTGAGCCACAAAATATTGTTCCAGACTGTACACTGAATAAATAAGGACCCAGCCCAGAACCATAAAACAAATTAAAAATCCCCCTACTTTCTACCATTGAGAAAACCATTGTAGTAATTATAGCTTTTGTCTTGCAAACTGTTTCTTTCCTATGGTACTAACTGAATGCGTGTATGTATTTTTGTGGGGAGAAGTATTATTGCAGTTCATGAAAAATGTTAATTTAGTCCTGTGTAAGAAAATTGTGTACCATTTGGAGCTTTCTGCATTATTTATCTTTTGTAAAAGCATACTCCCACGAATATAGAAATTGTGTTCCCTTTTATTTCCTGCTTTTGTAAGAGTAGATGTTGAAACTTGATCTAATTGCTGTTGTACCATGCATTTCAACCTAATTTGTTTATTATTTTGTTTTGTTTTTTATTTCCTTTTTTTTCCTGACAGGAACATGCTTACCCAGCTGATGAGCTCATGCCTTTAACTTGCCGTGGAAGAGTTCGGGGTCAAGAACCAAGTCGTGGGGATGTGGATGATGCCTTGGGAAAGTTAGTATTTTGAAATAATTATACTTATTTGAAGCATCAGTATTTAGTTTAAATGTGATGCTGTTGATCCATTATTACAAACCACATAAAACTGAATTTAAATTCTGAATGAATAACCATAAAAAGAACAGGAATATATACGAAAATGAAGAAAAACAAAATCAGACTAATAATTGCATGATACATGAATACTATTATATTTGTTTAAAATATTTTTCACCTGTGTAGTATCTGGAGAATCTTGTAGCAGATTATAGTGTTTAAGTAACATAAAGCAGTAAAATCAAGTAAGATAAATAGCATCTTAATTTAAAATACGCAGTAATAATCACATTGACACTGACAGAGAGGCATTTACTGAAAAGGCTGTTCATATTATGAGTACTAAGCTCTGAATATGAGAGTAAAAAGTTAAGGGGAAAATTTCGTACATTCAAGGTTTTGCAAGACTATAAAGTGAGTTTAACTTTCTGTGCCATAGTTCTGATAAAAATTGTGTCTTCAAAAAGTATATCTCTTCTAGGATCATAACCTAGAAGGAAACAGTTTTGACTCAACATTCAAGTGATCCCATAATTTCACAAACCCCTATAGGGTTGAAGAGAGTAATTGCAGCATATTTTGGCCCTCCAGACAAAATCACTTGGTTCTTAATTTTGAAAAAACTAAAATTCTGATCTTTGCTAAGAGAGCCACCCAACAATCCTGGAGAGTAGAAGGGTACTGTACAAATTAGAGCAGGTTACTGCATTTAAATAACGTTGAGGTGGCTTTCTACTCTAAAGGCACTTGGAACGTGCATCAGAATCACGTTGTATAGCTAGCTCTTAGGTCTACAAGTGCTGTTAAGCGCTTCTACAAGTGGAGGACAATCCCTGCACTGTTAAAACTTTTTGAGGCCAAACCACTGACCCAAATCCTTTATGATGCAGAAGTAGGGATTTATGTGAAGAAGGATGCACTGGAAACAGTGCAAACAAACATTTTGAGATCAATCCTCACTGCACCCAGTGGAACAGCAAATGCCTGGTTAAGGCTTGAGGCAGGAATCCCTGCTATCTAGGTAAGGGCTTGGGGGATGATGATAAACTACTGGCTAAAAATCCAATTCTTCTTAGTTGGACTGACCCCTTTAGTTATAATAGACAATTTTCCTTCTCCCTGGAAACAGGCTGTAGAGCAGAAGTTGGCATTACATGGGTTTTCTGTATCATTCCTAATTTCTTTAGGATATGACGAAGCCAAACAACTGCTCACCCAAAGAATAAGGGATATGGAGTTTCAGACTGAAGTTAATAGGCTGCCCCAACATGGCAGAAATTGGATAAATAAGGGCACTTGGGAACCAGCAAGATATTTACAAAATCTAACTTTCCCCAAACTAAGGATAGCATTTTTCAAAGCCAAGTATAACATTCTTACCATCCATACTGCTGCAAGACAGACACTCCAAAACCCCATTAACTGAGCGTACCTGCCTATGTGGCAACAAGGAGATCAAAACCAGTTCACATATATTATTACACTGTAAATTCTATGGGGATATCAGGTCTGCTTATATTCTGCCCCTAATATGTAAATTTCCAGGAAGGCCAGACAATTTCTATGAACCACCTTTTAGAAGATTGGAAACCA